TATGGCTAATTTATTAAATATTATAATTATGTGTGACATTCTAGATTGCAAAAATATATTATGTTTTACCAAGAACTCCTTGTGGACTCATATTTTTCTACTTCCTTTGCAATACTATTCCCAATACATACTTTTAAATGCTCTCAGCTCTAGAGAGCACATTAATTTCTCAGCCAGCATTGTGCACACACAGACACAGAGAACTTATTTCAGAAGAGGGAAGCCGACACACAAGAATCGCCCTGTGCCTGTCCTCTACTCTGAGGCTTCGCAGGGGATCTGTGGTGGAGGCAGGCTGAGTGACAAGGACGCTCACACCATAGCTTCTACTCCTGCCCTGACATGAGCCAGAGCAATCTGATACTTATGAACTTGTGGAAGATAGATGTTCTGTCACCGCAACTATTAAATAACTACTAACAAAGCAAAGATTCTAAAGGGAAATAAACCTCTATGAATAGAATGGTTTCTTCCTGGGCCACTAGTATTTTCTAAAACACAATTTAATTTTAAAAAGCCTAAATTACTATATTTTTCTTTCTCATATTCTTATCTTTTAATAAAACATAGTTGGAGTGCTTACTTAGACAATGAATTCAACTGCTCTTGAAGGAGATTCTTTATTTCTTCATTTTCTGGATAATCACTGTACAGAAAAGATTTTGAATGAGTTATCTCTTCACCTACAACCATTTGTTTCTTCACCAGGAAAAAGCTGTGCTAATCTAGAAATAACCTCTTTGAAGTCCTTGGTTAAAAACCTAGTTATAGACCAAAATAGCAACAGTCTATTCAGGAACCCACCAATCATCTCTAACCTCTGTTTCTGTCTTAGTCAGAACAAAGAAAAGAGTAAAGAGAGTCTCTCTGGCTTTCAAGAAACCAGAAAATTTATCTGTGAGCTCTAAAATCTACCACGTTTAGATTTATGTTAATAAGGAACTTAGCAATGACTAAAGGAATCTGCTAATTCTGCTCTGCAAAATGGACATTCATTTCTCTCATTCATTCATTCCCGGAGAATAGACACCTCATCGCATTACTATTGCTTTGGTTCCCCTAACCCATGTGTACCTGTGCACTCCACGTGGCATAAGTTCAATGACACTTGTGGGTTTAACTAATAACCACTAATAACAGTTTCTGCGAATATTTTTTTGCAGTGAGGCAGGAATTGAGATTTATAAAACCTAAAATACCTCTGAAGTAGGCCCATTCTCGCCGCTTTTAAAAAGGATTTCGAGGCTGGCCCCAAATTCCTCTTGGCCTCAACTGGCCCTCTTCATAGTCACTATGCCACGCACCATCTTCAGACTGGGAGACGACCACACAGTCACTGAGCGCAGCCTGTGTACTCACAGCTGCCACACACTCACACTTCTATGAAGGCCCCAGAGGGGAAACCAGAGGCAGACTGGCGACTCTTTTAGTGTGGCTGCCGTCTCTGCCTCAGCTTGATTTTAAGGTTCCAATCCTTTTAAGCCCTGGAGTACAGGCCACTACTGATTTTCATGGGTGTCCTTCAACTCCAAGGCAATTAAGAAAAGAAAACAAAAATGGAAAAAACTTACACATGAGAAATGTCCAAAGAATACTCTCCATTCCAAGGCTGGTGTAATAAGAAAGCTTTCAAGGCGAGGGAGGCCCTTGGAACAAGGAGATACGGGCACCACACAGGCTCTAGACAAAAAAATATATATATTTTTAAATAAAATTACAGTAAGTCAGTAGAAAACAACGTATAATGGGACGGTGGGGGAGATACTGTGAGATGGAATCTCCTGTTCCCCAACATCCTTTCACTCAGTGATCTGACACCCACTAATGACCCTTGCTTGAATCAAGTACTACAACAGGAGTTGCAAATTGGTGATTTTCTAATTCTATCATTCTGTCTAGATTTATCAATCAACGTACTTCTGTACACATGAGCTTTCCCTTCCTGCCCACATCCCCTTCTCTCTTTCTTTGAATACTACTACGGAATGATGGATCGTTTTTAAAAAATTCAGCACTGGCATCAATACTACCATTATTCCTGTGATGGTCAGACTGCCCCAGATTTGGGGGTGGAAGCCCCTCAAGGCTGGTTTCTGTATCCTTACAACAGGCTGTCACTGGTTTTTCAGTCCTTCCTTAATTTCTGGCACCACAGTCTGTCGCAGGCCCGTCGTGCACCTTCTCTGCCTCTGTCCTGGAACACACTGTCCAAGGAGCCCTGGTTCTTTTTAGGCAGGAAGTGGAATTTATAAACCAAAATCTGCGTACTAGCAGTGCTCATTGCCATTGAAACGTCATTGCTTCCAGGGCTGAAATCAGTGTACTGAGCCAGAAAATACTTTAAAAAAAAAAAAAAAAAAATTCATGAATTTATACTGGTACCTCCAATTCAAACCCAGCCTGGAATGTTCCTCCTCATCACCCCCCACTCCACATTTGTATCTCCCTTTTCCCTCGGTAGGAACCCTAGTTCCCCCAAATTGCAATTTATTTACTAGTTTGTTCCAGCCTGTAACATGCACAAAACAGGGTCAAAATTATTGGAGCCACTGTTAACTACTCAAGTAAAATTAAAATTCCTTTGCAACTCCTTTTGTCCTTAGAATACAAAGCGCTAAGGTGCACAGTGAGAGTTCTGTTTGTGTGGCTATGGAACCAATTGGTTATACAGTAAGGTTCAACTGTTTCTTGTGTTCAGTTTTAGGGTTTGCTTTTTCTTTCATCCTTCTCGTTTTCATTGTTATTTTTTGAACATGTAAAACATTTAAATGATTCAAAAGTTGAAACTATAGAATAAAGGTATATTCGAGAAGTTTCACTCCTATCCCCATTCTCTTCATCTTTCTACCTCCTATCCATGACCATTTTCTTTAGTTTCTGGATTATTATTGGTTTCTTTCTGTAAAATAAGCAAACGCCTACACAGACTATCTGCACTCTAACATGCTTGCATTTTTCACTCACACATATCCTAGATATCACTCTGTATCAGTTCACAGAGATAGTCCTGATTCTATTTCACTGCTGCATAGACTGTTCCATTGTGCAGATGTTCCCAAATTTATTCAAACAGTTTCTATGGATAAGTAGTTACTCTTTCCAAAATTTTGCTATGGTCACATATGTGGATGTACATCTGAGGGTACATTCTTAGCAGTGGGACTGCTGAGTAAACAGGTAAATGCACATGTAGCTTTGTCAGATATTGCCGAATTCCTTCCTACAGGACTGCTGCGCAAGCGGAATGTGAGAATGCTCGCTTCCTCACAGCCTTGCAACAGAGTATGTTTTCAAGCTCTTGAATTTTTGTTAATCTAATAGGTGAGAAACAGTTTCTTAGTGTAGTTTTTCCTCACTCAATCATTCAACAACCATTTATTGAGTACCTACTATGTTCCAGGCTCTGAAGATACAGCAGTGAACAAAACAACCCCAAATCTCAGCCCTGTGGAGCTTATATTTCTATTTGGGGAGAAAAACAAGATGGATAAATAAAACGTATAGGATGTCAGACGGTGTGAAGTGCTGTGGAGAAAATGAGGCAGAGAAGGGGGACAGCACACTGCACAAATCTTAAGTGTACTGCTTGGTGAAATTTTAGCAAATCCTTGCAAGCCTCCCACCTGCCCCGGCTTTCCCAGAAGCCTTTTCTGACCTCTTTTGTCTACAATGACTTCTCAAAAATATGGAACACTTCACGAATTTGTGTGTCGTCCTTGCACAGGGGCCATGCTAATCCTCTCTGTATCATTCCAATTTTAGTATATGTGCTGCCGAAGCCAGCATCGTACTGTGGTTTTAATTTGTATTTTTCTTATTATGAATAAAGTTGAGCATCTTCTCATATGTTTAAGGGCCACTTGTGTATCTTTCTTCTTTTTGTGGACAGTCTGTTAATGACTTACAAATACTTTCTCCCAGGTTATCATTTGTGTCTTGCTTTGCTTATAGTTTCTTTTGCTATGAAAGGTTTTTGGTTTTTTTAACTTTTTCCATTTAGTCAAATTTATCTTTTCTTTTATATCCAGGTTATAAAGGAAGGAATGTAGTACCTGTGAAGAATGAGGCTTTTCTACCTACCTACAGAACCATTAAAATCAGCACTGGAAGGGATGAAGGTGGTTAGTTTACTTAAAGTTCTTTCTTTCTCTTCATCCCTAATTGATGGCAAACCATGATTCTCAACTTTTCAAGTCAGCTCCTTGCACTTTCAGACAGTAGTAGCTGATGGCATTAAGCCACAAAATGTTTGGAAATAGTACATGTCAGGGAACAAAAAATTAACAGTACAAGTTAAACTTGCAATGGTTCAAGAAAGTTTCCATGCTACGTGGTAGTTTCTTAATCAATGGACAACGAAAAGACACAAGAGAATCATCTTAGAAAGCAGCATTCCAGAGTTTTTATGCAATGTGAGCAAGACAACAGTTATCAAGTCTGAGCAAACTGAGGGAAATGTCTGATTTTTAAAAACAAATATGTGTTATTTCTCCAAAGCAAAATACTATTGACAGCATCCCAGTGAGCATGAACATACAGAAAGTGGCCTCTACTACATCCTACCCTTCAATGAATTTAAAACTTTCTTCTCAAGGACAAAGATCAGCCATGAAAAAATAACAGGAGAGCTGGAGAAACTCACCAACAAGAGCTCATTCACTCCCGGAAATTACACAATTAGAACGAAAAGGCGGTTGGCATCATTGCTACTTTTTCTTAGACACATTCTGCTTAGTCTGGGTTATTGCCATCTGAGGTGTTAATCAGAAACATGCCCAGGTGTTAGCTGCCTATTTGACAGTCGCAATGCAGAAAATTAGGAACTCAAGAGCCAAGAAGTAAAGCAGTAGAAAAATGACTCCCACACTTGGAGGTGGCAAATGTCAAGGTGAGCAGGCAATCTGGGAGGAGAGGCCTCTGCTTTGGTGATTTTGTTCACTGCGATACAATGAGGGGGGAAGAAGGGAGACAAGGGGCACTACTGACATTTTGGGTGGGACAATTCTTCATTGTCCAGATTGTTCCATGCTCTGCATGTTAGCATCCCTGGACCTCCCCACACCCATAAGTCATGACAACATTTCCAAATGTCCCAAATGAAAACTCTTGGAAATGACCGTGGAAAACTGAGGCAGACAAAGAGGAAAGGTCTTGTACGTATCTGATTTTAGAAAACTTCTTTCCCTATGTGCTCACTTAGGAAAAATGTGTTCAGCAGTGGCCCAAACAGCTGGGGAGGAAGTTAGGTTGAATAGCTCTGACACCCTGTCGATACTATTTCAAGTGTGTGGAAACTGCATCATACTAGACTGTTATTAAACAAGTCTCATACTCTTGGATTCCTTTTAGATACTACTAAAAAAAAAATTAATGTTTTTTTAATGCCGTTTTATGCCCCTGATACATAAGGCAGCAGGCAAGAAGGGTTCTCCAACCCCAAAACAAACATGCCAATCTTCTACATTTGTCTGACCTCCCCTTTTACTGGGGATAGAGGCGGGGGGGTGTGCGTGTGTAATGTAAATAAAGGGGGGTGGAGGAAGAGGACTATCTAAGCTGTTCTAAGAAAACACACTTGAATCAATATTTTATGATATTCTCTACTCGTTATCAAGAAGAACTGAAGAAAATATATTAAATATATCAATGTATATGACCTAAAGTGATTTTATTTTTATCCCATATCACTAAGTGCAAAATATATTTCTAATTCCCCAGAAAAGAAACATATTCTATCAAACATATTTTTCCAAGACCAAATCAGCATGTATCTGGAGGTAAACCCACACACATCTTTTTCCTAATTCCATATTTACACTATCACCAGTTTTTATTATTTAACATTTATTGAGTGTTGTCCTGAGTTTAAAGTTCAATTTGTGAAATGTATGCACAATTTTATTGACCTTTCCCCATTACTATTTAAAAATTCTTTCCTTTCTGGCTGAGGCTGCACCACTAGAGACTGGATAGGAATGATTTTTGTTTTTTTTTAATATTAGGGAAGCTTTAAAAGAAAAATGCAATCTAAAATCTGGCTGCAGGTCAGATGTTCAAGTACGGTATTAAACATGGGTTAATGATGAGCTCCAATTCTGCAGTCAGTTTAATTTAAGAACAAGCTACCTTGGCTTTGGAGCATTTTAGATTCAAATTATAAATTAAAGGTAAAGAAAAGCTTTTCAAACATTTAGATTATATTTGCACATCTCTTTACCTAGAACCAGTAACTAAATTAAAAGAAAAATCATCTTTGAAGTTCCCTCAATTTCCTTAATACCTTTAGGTTTAAAATTAATATCAACGTTGTCTTTCTTGGGGAGGATGTCTTGCTACTGCTGCAGAGTTGGCAGATGTCTCAAGGACAGATATGGGAATGCAATGCTCAACTTCTGGCTTCACCAGACGGCAGTTACAGTTACACAGGAAGAGCAAGAAGGGGTAGCACCCAACTACAGCAGCAGGGATGGGGCGGTGACAAAAACAAAAGCACACCTCGCATAAGTTAAAGGTAGCCCAGCCAACATGAGCAGCAACTTGGCTGTGCCCCAAGCATGAATGTAATGTGAAAGGGCAGGTTTTCAAAACGTTACTGTCTCTGAATGTGCCAAAGACCGACTCCACAAAGGTACAGACAATTCCCAGAGCTGACCGTTCTAGCCTGAAATTCAGTAAATGACTAAAACAAGTCTCTTATGAAATTTTTTACAGATCAGACAGCCCGGAGTGTACACCAAAGGCATGCCTGGAGAACACAATGCAGGAAGTTTCCTGCTTTGCTTCAGTTAGGATCAGCATATCTGTCTCTATCCAAAAGTGTCTTCCAAGGATGAACAGTGCATTTCATTAGACAAAAGCTGCCTTTCAAACTGATTGATGGGTGCATTCATAATCTCCTTATTCTTTTTTTAAAGTCACATATGGGGTTATTTTTACTAAAATATTTTTTAGTCTGGTAAAAATCTCAAAACAACCATACAAAAAAGGGTAATATAGCGCAATCATCTAATTTTGTTTTGACTGGCTATTTAACAAGTCATAAGATACACATCAAAATTCATGATATTGGGAACACTTTCCAAGGTGATTTTTCAATGATATACAGTTGCAAAAGATATAAGGTTCATTATTAAAAAGCCAGCAGCACCTTGCCACTAGATTCATATTGTCTGATGAATTCTAACTTCTGAGTAAGCCATTTTTGTAAACGTAAACATCTTTGATCTTTTGACACAGCACTCAGAAAAGGGTCAAAGAGGGGGCACTTGCCAAACCAGAGTGGGGAATGATTGATGCCTGCAGTTAGAAGGAGTCTGGTTTCTCAGTGGTAAAAACACTCAAGCTTTAAGTTAATATATTTTCTTAAACTCAGATTCTTAGAAAATAAGATTGAAATGAAACAGAAGCAGCTCTCTCCCCCAGAAGACAGCCGCTTGTGCAAAATAAAGACAGGTTTCAAAGCACGCTTTCATTAGAATTCCATACCGGTTAACTCTTGTTCATCCATTCTGAAACACGTTGACTTCATAGACATCTCCAGGACTCTGATACACCCATCATCTGACGCCAAGATCACTTTATCTGATGTACACCAGTCCACGTCCAATATCCGAAAGGTCACATTTCTTCCACTTCTTAAACTGCTCACCATCTGAACCTTCAAGAGTGAATTTGGTTGTCACTTTCAGAAAGAAAAGGAAGATGTTTATCATTCTGGATTAAATGGTCAAGGAAAGACAGTGCCTAAGGCAAAGGCCCAGCGCAAGTTTACACCTGAACAGTCTTTGGCAATCTACCTTCTACGTGCAGACTGCATTTCAAAGGACCCAAAGACAGCAGTAACATTAAAAAAAATGTGTTGGGCTGTCACCTTTAGAACAGAAATACTGTAAAAGAAAATTGTTTTAAGAAGCTTGACAAACCCATTATATAGTTTTCATTTCTAAATCAGAAGAAGAAAAGACTAGACAGTTTCTGTGACCAGCAGCTTCGTCTGCCACGTACCCTCGTGGGGCTGGGCCTACCTCTTTAGTATCCCACACTTCAGCTCCATCATTGTACATTGCTATCAACTTTTGGTTTCCTTTACCAGGAGCAAAACGAATCTTCCTCACCCAACTTCGGTGCGTAGGTATCCCTCTGAGAACAAACAAACAAAAACCAAGACACCAACATGAAGCAGAGTACCATCTCGTCACCAGAAACCACGTCCAACGTCTCTTTCTGTTTCCATTTTTGACAAGGTCAGGTGATGGGAGAACCACTGTCCTTTCTGGAAAAGGGGCAGACCTGGCAGAAAGGGTCTCCAGCACTTCTGCGTGAGCCACCTGCAGATAAGGTATGCTATGAATGATCCAGGGCTTGGCTCAAGGCCCTTCCTCTCAAGTTCAGTGACAAGAGACCCAAAGGTCCAAGCTACACCTGGCCATGTTTAGTGATTCTGCTTATAAATACTAAGTCACATGCCTCCACTGGAATCTCACTCAGAGGTTACTTTTTTTTTTTTTAACCAAATAATAAGATTGCACACTTGACTCATACCTGGATACTCTGCCTTTCAAATCCCAAAAATTTAAATTTCCATCCACATCTCCAAGAACTAACGTATCACCTTTCCAAGCGATGCAGGTAATACTACCCATACTTCCCTAGAAGACAAGAGCAACAAATACACATAAATTTCACTAGAGACTGTCCTAATAGATATTTTTACTTAATAACTGTGATGAAATAATAAAGATATTTTAATAAAATGTAATTATAAATGGTTTGGTTTAGCATAGATGCCATCAAACACTAACAGACAGACATTGCAGACTAAAAGAGCTACCTAGCATAACAATTTCAATCACGAAGAAACAGGAGATTTCAATTTGATATCTATTAAGTTATCTGAACTAGATATATAGAGAAGGGATGTCTTTAAGGAAGAAAAACCTTAAAGAAAAGAAAATTAAAGGAAGAAAAAAGAGAAGGAAAGTAAATCCTTTCCAGAGAGCTTGTCTCCAACTTCTCTCACTGCTAAAGGATAAACAGATCTATTCTGGGGGGGACTCAAAGCCATTTGATAACTAATGGTGCAGTAATTTTTCTATGGACAGAGGATCCATAGCTTCACTGGTACCTTCTGGAATACTGAAGATGAAGAGATATTGTATATTAAAGGCATCTGCACAATTTGAATTCACAGAAAGCTTTGCAAAGAAGTTACATGTGAAAACACAAATATAAGAATGAAACACTACTGTAAAAACTAAGTGGGGAAGAAAGGAGTCTGCAGCTCTAACAAATGCACAGAGGTAGTGTGACAGGGAGCTGAGGAGCCTGGGCTCTGGAGGTGGCTGCCTGGGCTTGAATCTGAGCTTTATCACTTAACTTGTTGTGTGATTTGAGGCACATTTACTTAATCTTTTTGTGTCTTGGATTTATCATCAATAAAGTAGGGTAAGCTCATGAAACTGGAGGAGTTCCTATTAGTGTTAATAAATTCATACAGGTAAAGGCCTTAAAACAATGCCTGCTACACAGTAAATAGTCAATACACGTTAGCTATTAAATATATTATTGCTCAATTACTTCTCTACTTATTAAAATAAATCTTGTTTTTGCATTTACAGAATATAAAACTTCACGTGCTTAGTTCTCATGGTATCCATAGTAGAGAGTAGGAAAGCTCCAAGCGTTTGCCAAACTGACTATTAACAGACCAGCACATACACCAAACACCGTGTAAATTTTAGTGGCAGAAAAAACTGGATTAAAAATGAATATTTTGGGCCATCCCTGGTGGCCTAGTGGTTAAGTTTGGCACACTCCACTTTGACAGCCCAGGTTTGGTTCCCGGGCGTGGACCTACACCACTCATCAGTGGCCATGCTGTGGTGGCGACCACATACAAAATAGAGAAAGACTGCCAACAGATGTTAGCTTAGGGTAATCTTCCTCAGCAAAAGAAAAAAGAATATTTTAATGAATTTGACAATTAAAAACTTAGAAAGTTATGTTAAATAAACAGAATTCTGTAAAATATGAAGCAACACTCCCAATTCTTATTTCTATTCTCCTGACCACATTAACAAAACATTTAATTAAGAATATGCATTTAAATTTACTTTTCAGTGTTTAAAACTTTCACATTCTATAATCTTACTTTCTAACTGCTAAATATTAGAATATTAAAGTTTAAATTAGCCCAGAAATCAGTGTTACCAGCTTAGAATTACATGTGATGCATTAATACCACTGTACAATTAAATAATCCAGACCTTTCTACATAAGACTTTGTTGATGGGATATAAGCCATATGGAGATACCAAGGTGCTTTCAGAGGATGTGGCACAAACTTGCTTTGTGGCTCCAAATAATCCCAAGAGAAATAATGTAAGATTAAAACTTAATCGAGTATTATTAGTAGACACTGGGTGTTGCCTACACGTAAAATATGATGTTCAAACGACCAGAAGTAAGGCTGGCAGCAAAGCAGAGATACTCATTCTGTCCCATTGTTCCAGTCTTCTGAATACAGGCAGTCAAATACAGACACTCCATGCAAACATAATTTAAAATACGCCAAGCTTTTCTCTTCTTTTTATCATTTTTATATACTCTATAGTTCTGGAGCCAAATTCCAGAGGGAAAGTTTCAACTCAAAACAAATGTTTCATACTTTACATTTGGAAAGAGGGTAAAAGAAATACTGGATTAAAATAAGCAAACAAAACCTCTGCCGACATTCTTACATTATAGTACTAGGAAAATATTTTAATTACAGAAAATAAAAATAATGAACCAAAACCAATTCCTTGTGTATTATATAGTAGACGCTCAATTACCTTTCCCTAAGAATAATCTGCTCTAACATATGTAGTAATTTCATTGGAGGCTGGATCCTTATTAGGCTGGTCTTTCCTTGAGGAAGCTGCTTCTAGCTGTGGAGTAAAAGGATCTGGCAGGCAGAATAGAGCCTTGCTATATCCTGACTTCAGGCCCCCATGAGAAAGGATAAAATCTTAAAAGCTGTGTGGTGCAATTATCATCCACTTATGAAAAGGAAAACATGAGTCTAACGTCCAGAAATTTTCAATTTTTTAGGGGGTGGTAGGGAACTGGCATCTCAAAAATTATTGGATTATTTCTACATTCTAATCTCAAATGTGAAGTGATGAGAAAACAAAGAGACTGAGCTCTTCGCGAGTGGCACTAGACGAGCCCCACTGGGCTTCCCTGGGGTTCTGAGGGAGGAATACATGTATTACTAAGAGAGTGAACTGTGATTCTCCAAGGACAGCTACAGTACCCCGCAACTCTTATGTCTGCATTCTCTCACTATAGTTTTTCTCTCTACACACTTAGGTTACTTTTCCTATTGTAACTACCAAATATCAATCTTTCACATTTGCATTATTATTTTCACCCTTCAAACTAGTGAAAATGTTTGGCAATATTAGAGATAGTTCAAAATAAGTCTCAGATATGACTTGTTCTATATGATAATAAAAATGAAATGACAGTGTGAAAAGCACTGTCCTGTTAGTTTCTGTTTTTAGGAGAGAAGGTTGTTTGGATGCCCTCAACTCTTCTAAAGCTGTTAATAAGGAAGATGTGGTACCCGCCTCTAAGAGGCCCCCACTGAATCTGCCTTTTGACATTCATGTCCCTTGGTAGTCACAATGAATAGGGCTAACACGTGAACCAATAACATACTGCGGAAATGACAGAGTGTGACTTCTGAAACCAGGTCCTAAAAGACACTGCAGCTTGCTTTGTGCTCTCTTGGATCACTCGCTCTGGAGCCAGCCAGCTGCCATGTCATGAGGACACTCAGACAGTCCTATGGAGAGGTCCACATGAGGAAGAACTGTGGCCTCTCACCAACAGCCAGCACTCATTTGCAGTGGCCATGTGAGCGAGCCATTGTAGAAGTAGATCCTCCTGCTGCAGCCAACATCCTGACTGCAACCTCATGAGACCCCTGAGCCACGTGTAAAATATGGGGGCTGGCATTCAACTGAAACAGTCCTTTTTTTTTTTCTTTTTGGTGAGAAAGATTGGCCTTGAGCTAAGGTCTATTGCCAATCTTCCTCTTTTTGCTTGAGGAAGATTGGCCCTGAGCCAACATCCATGCCCATCTTCCTCCATTTTGTATGTGGGATGCCACCACAGCATGGCTTGATGAGCGGTGCGATGCACAGGTCCACACCCAGGATCCGAACCCATGAACCCCGGGACGCCAAAGTGGAGCGCATAAACCCAACCACTATGCCAGCGGGCCAGCCCCTGAAACAGTCCATTTTTATTATATTATTTTTTTATTTTTTGCTGAGGAAGATTTGCCTTGAGCTAACATGTTGCCAATCCTCCTCTTTTTTTGCTTGTGGAAGATTAGCCCTGAATTAACATAATATCTGTGTCAATCTTCCTCCATTTTGTATATGGGTCACTGCCTCAGCACAGCTGACAAGTGGTATAGGTTGGCGCCCAGAAACCAAACCTGGGCTGCTGAGGCATGCCAAACTTAACCACTATGCCATGGGGCCAGCCCCTACAACAGTCCATTTTTAGATGGCAATTTTAAATAAATACGTATACTTTAAGAAATCATCTCATGCCTCCACTTAACCATTATAGTAGTATTAGTTAACAAAAACATTTTCTTACTCCATCTGTTAAAAACAACCTGTGAGATACATGCTGACACAAATTATTAACCACGAAACCTTAGAGGATTGGACAAGGCCATGAGAAGGATACATATATATAAATTAGTAAATGTTAATAATGCTATTACACTTACAACCTGATTACTATTATCCAAAAATAATACCAGGTTGTAAGTCAAATCCTTCAGGGTAATGCCTGAAATGGAAAGAGACAGTGGAATCAGATAGACAGCCCTGAGTTTAAAACTGCCACTCACTAAGCTGGGTAACTTTGGGAAAGTCACTTATTCTCCCTCACTTTTGTCAGAGATAAAATGGAAATAATTACTCATGGATTATTATGGGCATAAAAATGAGTAGCACATGATAAATATTTAATCAAAGTAGTTATAATACTTCTCCAGCAGTCAGAACAAGTTTAATCAATGATAACATCTCCTTAAAATAGTAAAGTTTATTTACATTAAACTTCTGAAATAGCCTTCCAACTTTACTACAGCTTCACTGGACATGGAACCAACAAAATCTTCAATAAGGACTCTTAATGAAGATTTAATCAAGGGTTGGACTCACATCTGGTGGAATTCGAGCACTATCTTTCACGGAGTTCCCTTCAACAGTGAGATGATAAACTTGGCCGTCATTGTCGGTAAACACAAAATGCTCCCGGGCAGAGATGTTCTGACTGAGTTCAGATTTACTTTCGGCCTCCTGCAACAAGCTTTGGGATAGGGAGAAATAAGATAAACGTATTTCTTTTCTCTAGAGAGACACTCATAATTAACTCTTCCAAAATACACATACATTAACAGGAGATCCAAACCATTAAAAAAAGATGAAAAGCCTGAAACTAATCTTTGCCCCGCTAATAATAGGAAAATACAAATTACTCCCAAATAGTCATAGTATGAGAGAACATGTACCCTGTGCAGAGGAACGCAGAGATTCAGACTTCACACACGAAAAAGAAACCTCTTTGTTGTTTCTGCAGCAGAACACTCCTCAGCAGGAGAGAGGTCTTACCTTGACACATCATTCTCTCTGAGGTTTTTTATTTGTAAAATTGGTGGAGATGGAGACAGTACATAAATTTAGAATTCTCAATATATTTTCTTTGGTGTACATAAATGACAATATGATCTATCTGTATGTTCATGCCATGTTTACTTGAATTTTAGAAGCTGAAGTTTATGGAACAGAAGGGCACTGAGAATGATCATACTCACCAGCAGGTGCCGATGTGTGGATATTACCATATAATTTACTGACTGCACTAAGCAATGCAATGATAAAACTAACTTGTCAGTAAGCTGGGTATGTACTGAAACACCAAAGTATGTTCAAAAGCAAAGTGTAACTTGCTACTAGAGATGCCTTTGGATCACACTTGTCACATTCCCAACCATGACAAGGATATTACAAATGACAGCGGCAGGAAACAGCACACTGCACCTAATCACAGATGACTCGACGATGCTCAGCTCTGTGTCTGAGACCACGGTCTGGCGGGCCATGGCCTCACGGGTGGCCAGCTGCTTCTTTCTCAGGCTCTTCAAGTTGTGAGATGGTGACCACTCCTGTGAAGCAAAGACATACACACTAAAAGTGCTCAGTTTCCTTCTGTCAAAGAATCCTTTCAGAACAGCTGGGCATATTCATCATTGCCAAGTACCACTTATTATTACTACACAGAAATTCACAACTTGTTCTTAGGTTTTACCTATTTCTAGAAAAGCTGAACGAATGCATTTTAATTAAAGCTTAAGGTAGCGGATTTTAATAATCTACCTCTACCTCCCCTACCTCTGATCTTTAATTAGAGCTTAAGGTAGAAGAGTTTAATGGCAAACTTCCAAAAGGTCTAACCTTTTGATGCCTTCTTTTTCCATAAAATGAAAATAATAAATTCAATTATGGTATCTCCTATTCCCTACCTCCACCCACTCTGCCTTAGGTGCACAGGGTAAGATAACCATATTCCTCTAATCATGACCCATTATCACCCATAGGTCCACCTCAAACCTCTTGTTTTATTTCCTTATGATTTTGTATTTTCACCTATTCTAATGCACTTAATGTAATATCCTCTTGTATGTATAAACTCTTAACGTAGTTATTTTACATGCATGTATCTGTAATTTACATAAATTGTAATGTACTGTGTTATATATCTCATTCTGTTTTTAACTCTATTCACTCAGCACAATGTATTTAAGTCCCATCTCTGTTGTTTCTGCACACTATATAATACTCCAAGGGTGCATCCACCAACTTTTAGTCTGTCTGGTCTCTCAGCAAAGGACCCCCAGATTGCCTCCAAACTCTCATCCTGACAAATTTAACACCGCAGTCACTATCCTCAGAAAAGTTCCTTTATGACCAGGAGTTGAACAGCTGGAGCACAGAGGATGTCTGTGTTTACCTAAGTGCCGTCAGCTTGCTCTACAGAATGGCTCCACTGGTCCACATTCCTACCACCTGCGCATAAGGATTCCTACAGCCCATATTACACCCACATCTGACGTCATCTGGCTTTCCACTTTTCCTTAGTCTAAAAGGTGTACCACAGCTATTTTACTTTGCACATCTCTAAAAACTGAGTTTTCCTTCATATGCTTGCTGGACTTTCAGGTTGCTCTGCCATTCATCAACAGCTCACAGGCTTTGTCCCTCTTTCCATTGCGGTTCCTGTTCTTTTCATTGTTTATGTGCAGGAGGTCCCACAATACTAATTCCCTAGAGGGATCAGTTAGTCCCCTGTCAGTTTTAGACATTGGAAAGTTTCCTTTTCCAACTTGTCTTCTATATTTAACGTTGACATTGTTGTCCTTCATCGAACAGAAAGCATCAATCGATGTAATTAAATGCATTATTTTTTTGCCTTTTGGTGTCAGCTTCTAATGTTCTCTCCTGCCCCAGAACACAAAAATATTCTTTTATATTAGATTATATTAATTTTATAGCTTTACTTTTTTACATGTAGGTCTTTAATCCTATGGAGCCCACCTCTGAAGATGGTATTACGACAAGAATCAGTATTTTTCTCCATCAAGTGAGACAGCTTTCCTAATACTGTCTACTGAACAGTCCATCCTTCCTTTGGGTTTGTGTGCTCCTTTCCTGTATAGTAAGTTCCCAAATATTCAGGGGTCTGTTAATGAGCTCTTATGACGCGGGTCCATTTCCTGTTCTTGGGCCAATACGACATTGCTTTTATTTCTCTGGCTTTGTAATAGGAACTACATCAGGGAGGACGGCCCCAGTCCTACCCCCACCCCCCATATTACTCCTCCTTTTTCAAGGCTGACTTAGCTATTATGACCTGTATTCTTTCATAAACTTTTAAGAATATGTTTATCATGTTCCTCAAAATATCTAAATGAAATTTTAATTGGAATTGTACTAAGGTAATATTAGCTTAACCTATCCAAAAAAAAGAGTTATTGCCATTTATTTAGATCATCTTCTCTGAACACACACTTTTCACAAGAAAATACACGGCAGTAATGATTTCAACTCAAGCTATAGAAAAATATTCACCACATATATACATGCCTAAATAAATTGTTTAGTTCTTCAGTCATAACTTACCAAAGCAGTTATTACAGGGAAGTTCTTGGACATTTCTCTAAGAATGGTACAAGTCCTAACATCCCATAATTCCAGGGGTTTATCTTTGAATACAACTGCCAAATACTGCCTAAAAGAAACAAAATTACTAAGTAAGCCCCTTTTTGCAAAATTTTCACCATAAGTAGTACAAATAAAAAGTTCAGTAAATCAGAAAACTCAAATGGCAATTCTAAACATAGACAATTTAAACTAACATTTAGCCCTCATGATTAATAGTCATAAGAAGGTAAAGCCCTAAGATGACCTCTGAGAGCCACAAAGCCGTAACTAGGTAAGAAGCCCCACTCTGAAGAAAGAATGAGAAAAGGCACAAGTTCACATCCTAGTGACACACTAACAGTAACCCCGCCAAGGCTCAATTTTCTCATACATGACATGAGAGTACCACCACCCACCTCAATGGACTCGTATGCAGGTTATGATAAAAATTAAATGAAAAAGTACATAAAGTTTCTGTCAGGCTGGCACTGAGGAAATGTGACAGAGTAGGAAGATCCCTGTACTCAGTTCTCCTGCTCAGGACCAAGTCTGCCAGTTGAAAATTATGTGGCCTCAGACAAACCGTGTAACCTTTTTGAGTTTTATTCTACTTACCTTTAAAATGGGGTTAATAACACCTGTCTTGCCTACCTCACTACATGCTATAAGGATAAAAAAAATGGGTGGCACACATAAAAGAATTTTATAAACCATGATGGATTTATACAAAAGCAATATATTACATTTTTTATTATATCTAATAGAAAGGCATATAAAGGCGTGTATGTAAATAACGAATGTAAGACAGAATTTGGTAAATGCTATAAAGATTCACTATGAAAGAAGAGATTAATTTTGATAATAGGGAAACAGCATTCAGGCAGAATTACAAACGGCAAAAGACAGGATAGGACACAGTGTGTTTGGGGGAACATGCTACCTGAAATGCAGAGTACAAGACAGCAATCATCAGGAGAATGATGATGATTTTGAGAATTCTCAAAAAATGAGAATTTTGGATGACATTATAAAAGATCTAAGACACCCTAAAATGCCAGGCTAGGGTATGTAGAGATTTATCCTGCAGAGAACAGTGGATCGCTGAGTTTTGAAGTAGGGGGGATAATGTGATCATTTGTTTTAGATGTATTAGTTTAGCAGGCATGTGTAGAGTCAAGATCGACTGGAAACAAGAAACTGGAGTCCATATAGTTTAACTGAGCCATTATCAAACTTTTTAGTCTTAGGACTCCTTTACCTTTTTAAAAATTATTGAGGACGGCGCTTAAAGAACTTCTGTTTATGTGGGTTATAACAAGTGGTAGTTTGCATATTAGAAATAAAGCGTAATAAATAAAAACCTATCTTTATTAATTTATTTAAATGAAAAAAATAGAAAATAACCAGCAAGATGGTAGATTTAAACATAAGCCATATTGATAATTACATTAAATATGAATAATTTAAATGCTGCAATTGAAGCAGAGATTGTTAGAGCAAACGGAAAAACAAGCCCTCATTATATGCGGTCTACAAGAAATGACCTTTAAAAATAAAGACACAGATAAGTTACAAGTAAAAGGTTGGAAAAAGATACCATGCAAACACTAATCAAAAGAAAGCTGGAGTGGCTATACTAATTAGACAACTCAGACTTACTTCTGAACAAAGAATATTACCAAAGACCTAGAGGATATTTTACAATGATAAAGAAGTCAATCAAAAGGATATAACAATACTAAATATGTAGGTACCTAATAACAGCTTTAAAATACCCAAAGAGAGAACTTGAGTTCTTCAAAAGAGAAATAAATCCACAAAATTAGAAAGTTTAACACTCATCTCTCGGTCATAGAAAAGCAGGCAGAAAATCAGTAAGAATATAAAAGACTTGGATAACTATCAAGCAACTTGAACCAACATTTATGGAATATTCTTATCAATAACAGCAGAATACTCAATCCTTTCAAGTGCACATGGAACATTCACTAAGAGAGACCATATTCTTGGCCACATAACCATCGAATTAAATTTAAAAGAATTGAAATATATAAAATATGCTCTCTGACCCTAACAGAAACTAGAAATTAACAGAAAGATACCTGGAAAAATCCCCTAAAATAACGTATCTATAAATATCCCATGGAAATTTAAAAATATTATAAAGTACATTAAAATGAAACTCATCCTATCAAAAATTGTAGGGTACAGGAGGGGGCCAGCCCAGTGGTGTAGTGGTTAAGTTCACGCACTCTGGGGGCAGGCCTGGTGGCGTAGCGGTTAAGTGCACATGCTCTGCTGCGGCGGCCCGGGGTTTGCAGGTTTGGATCCTGGGAGCACACCGAAGCCTCACTTGTCAAGCCATGTGGTGGTGGCGTCCCACATAAAGTAGAGGAAGATGGTCATGGATGTTAGTGCAGGGCCAATCTTCCTCAGCAAAAAGAGGAGGATTGGTATCAGATGTTAGCTCAGGGCTAATCTTCCTCACTACAAAAAAAAAAAAAAAGTTCACGCGCTCTGCTTTGGCAGCCCGGGGTTCACAGGTTTGGATCCCAGGCGGACCTACGCATTGCTCATCAAGCCATGCTGTGGCGGCATTCCATTTACCAAAAAATAGAAGGGGATGGGCACAGATGTTAGCTCAGGGCTACTCTTCCTCAGCAAAAAGAGGAAGACTGGCAAGGGATGTTAGCTCAGGCCAGTCTTCCTCACACACACACAAAAAATTGTTGGGTACAGGAAAAGTAGTGCTTATACAGCATTAAATGCTTATATTAACTGTTAAAGAAAGACCTTAATTCAATCATCTAAGGTTCTACCTTAGGGAACTAGAAAAAGAAGAACATATTAAACCCAAAGTCAGCAGGGGGGAAAAAAAAAGATCCCCATGGCAGTCAATGAAACAGAAAATAGAAAACCATAGAGAAAAATCAAAGAAACCAAACGAGTTTCTTTGAAAAGATCAATGAAATTGACTGACATAATTTACTGATATCAAGAATAAGAGACAACACTCAGATCACACCAATAATGAAAGAATAAGAATATTATGAACAAGTTTATGTCAATAAATTCAACAACTTCAATGAAATGGACAGATTACTTGCAAAACACCAACTACAAAAGTTCATTGAAAAAAAAAAAACTACCCTAAATAGCTCTACATCTATGAAAGAAATTGAATTTGTATTTAAAAACTTTTCCACAAAGAAAATTCTAGGCCCAGATGGATTCCCTGGTGAATTCTTCCTATCTAAGGAAGAAATAATATCAATTCTACAAAAACTCGTCCAGAAAAAAGAAGAGGAGGGAATATTTCACAACTCATTTTACAAGGTCAACATTACCCTGATTCTAAAACCAGACAAGGATATCACACAAAAACTAGACCAATATCCTTCATGAACATTGATGTTGAATAATCCTGAATAAAATATTAGCAAATCAAACCCAGTAATAAAACAAAATAATATTAGCAAATCAAATGCAGTAATACATCATGACCAAGTGGAATTTATCCCAAGTGGAATTTATCCCAGAAATGACCAAACATTAAAATTGGTTTAATATTTGAAAAATCAATCAATGCAATTCACCATATTAGCCAACTTAAAGAACAAAACAGAAACACACCACATGATGATGTCCATAAATGCAGGAAAAACATCTGACAAAATTCAAAATTCAACACCTAGTGAATGACACAAAGTCTCAGCAAACTAGGAATAGAAAACCTTCTCAACGTGATAAAGGGCATCTACAAAAAGTCTACAGCTAACATATTTAATGTTGAAAGACTGAATGCTCTCTCCATAAGATCCATGAACAGAGCAAAGATGTCAGTTCTCATCATTTCTACCCAACATTGTACTGAAGGTCGTAGTCAGTGTAGCAAAGCAAGGAAATAAAACATCCATAGAACAGAAAAGAAAGACACAGAAGTGTCTTTACTGGCAATCAATATGATTTGTCTATACAGAAAATGCTAAGGAATCAACAAAAATGCTACCAGAACAGATAACTAAGTTTAGCATGGTCTCAAGGTCAATATCAAAAAATTAACTATTTCAGTATACAAAAAATGAATAATTAGAAACAAATTAAAAAAAGAAAAAATATCATTTATAATAGCATCAAAGAAAAAACAAAAAAAAATTAACAAATGATGTGTAGGACGTATACACTGAAAACTATAAAATATTACTGAAAGAAATTAGACAAGACCTACCAAATTAAGTGGAGAGATACACGATGTTCATGAATCACAAAACTTGTTAAGACGTTGATTCTTCCCCACACTGATCTATGGACTTAATGCAATCCCAATCAAAAGCCCAGCACACTTTTTTGGTAAAACTGATAAGCTGATTCTAAAATTTATATGCAAATACAAAGATCGTAGAAAAGCTAAAGCAATTTTGAAAACTATTTTAGAGACCTTTCTCCTTTTTCCTTTGTTCTTTTGATTGATTTTCACTCAGTCTCTATTTTTAATAATTCTGTTTTATATGTATTTTCCCTTGGAACAAAAAACTTAAAAACTTACTGGAATTAAAATGGGTCTAAATTATAACTAAAGAAAATGAGTTCTTTCATGCAATAAACCCATGCTGAGGTAGAAGTGCATAAGAATTTCATTAGATAACAAACATTTTCTTAGTGGGTGACAGGCATTTACGTCAATATAGCTATAGCAGAACAAAACGGGGTTACGTCTTTTACCAATCCAATGACATGTTAAGATTCATACAAAAGTTACCTCATCTTTTTAGAAGGGGAGAGTTAAAAGCAAAAGCAACTTAATATTGTGACCAAAATATTTTCTTTGATATGGCTGCCTACCACCATTTGTTATCACTAAGAAACTCTATATGCGTTCTAGTGTACATTCTCGCTTCCTTACATATATAAAAAAAAATCTTTGAGATTCCACTGTGATAACATCATAGATTTTTTTAGGTTAACACTTACTTCAAATGAGAGACTTTAATCATTTCGATGGGTGGCTCATCATTGCCTCGTTCACCTCGAAAAGCAATGCTCCTACCTTTAATTGCAAATATTAAAGAAAATTTGAAAATAGCACATAAAACACACATGAAACAAGAAGCTACACCAGTGTAATCTGATCTGTGCTACCTTCTGTTCTCCTGTTCATTCTTCCATTTGCTTCTAATCTTTCTAATAATCTAAATTCAAAAAGTATTCTCAAAAGTTATTATAAGTTAAAGACCAATAATTTACTACTTACATTCAAATATTTATTTTATTAAAAAATATTTTCATTTGTTATAGTTTCTTGAATTCCTTCTGTGGTTTCTTTCAAATAATTTAATTTTAGAAATTTAGAAATATCAACTTCAAAGTTTTAATGCATCTATGGTAAAGTAATTATCTACTGTAAAAACTACTGGTATGTTTAAAGTAATACCAACATTCCATGCTTACAAATACTGACTAATGGGGAAAACACTCTTTAAATAGGTATTTAAGATTTCTTGTCCCATATGCAAAATACTCAACTAAAATACTTTGACATGTTCCTATCAAAAGGTCTCTAAAAACTGAAATTGGGGAATGATAAGAATCAGTTAACTGCCAAAGAAGCTAAATGGTTTTCTATAATTTAAAAAATGCAAATTCCACCTTATGTCTGAACAAATATATTTTAATATCTTTCCCTAGATTTTTATTTACATTAAACGAAAGAGAGAACATATTCAATTCAAAGACAACTGAACGCCTACATGCCTCCCTTTTCTCCAATGCCATCAAATAGGATCTCACTATTATTTGCCAAACACCCCACATCCTTTCCAGACTCTGCTAGTCTGTTGCCTTCCTTAGAAGACTAGGCTGTAAAAGTCTATAATCTATGAACTCAAGTGTCCCACTTAAGGAAGTCAGTAACTATCACTTACTTAGAAATTGGTTCTTCAAAAATAAATCTGTGAAAGACAGATTTTTAAGTTATCTAACAGTCCTGAACTTGAGCTGATTGGAAAAAATGAGCAGGTATTTTTTTAGTGAATGATACTAGAGAACAGCCTTCCATCCCTGGGCTACTACATAACTAGAGACCAGTGCCAGTTTGTTGGCAAATCAGGAATCTGGGGATCACTGGGCAGGTCACTTCCAATGAGACTAGAGCAATACTGGACTAAAGGTGGTGCTGATTCCTTGAAATTTAGTAACATACTCTGATAAGAACAACTATATCTTGGAAATGTATATTGAGAATATAAGGAAGCAAGCATATACTTGATTTATTACACATCCATGTACACATACATATACATCTTATTGGTTAAAACCATCTAAAATATTCATATCGCTACACCATTTTAAAGAAACACACAATTTTGTTTAAAAAATCTATTCAAAATCACTGCATGTGCTATAAAAGAATTTGAAACCCTCACCTTATTCTACTTTCAAGTTCTGCATTTTGAAACCCATTGGGTTGTAGGTTTTTAACAATTTTAAATAAGTTACTTCACCAGAATGTTTCCTATTGTAAAGTCTTTAAACTCCCAATTAAGCTTCCTTATTCAGTCAGCCAGAGACTACAAAAAGCTTTAAATTTGCGCATTTGAAAACAATCCTTACCTATGTTTTTTAAGGCTTTCCTACAAATGTCAAAATTTTTAAAAGAGAATCTAATGAAGTCTAACTACAAAGACTTATTTTAAAACTGTACTTGTGGTTATCTCTGTCATCCTACAGAAACAGAAACCAGTTTAAGAGGCAAAGCGTTTATTTGGGATCAAATTGCAATTCAGGGAACACAGATTCAGGTAGAAACCCAAATAGTGACCCAATTACAGGAGAGAGGCTTAGGGTTTTTATAGGAAAAAGGGAGGATGAGGTGAGTCCTATTAAAAAAGAGTTGGTAAGGTAAGGTAAGGCTAGGTTCGTACTTCACAGATCGGCCTAAGGTTTGATCATCAGGCAAAAGGCTAGACTTGTACTTCATTGATTGGTTAGTGATCCAGACATCAGCAAAGTCCAGTGCCATCAGTCCTTACAGACAGGATATTCTTGGCCTTACTGACTCCTTGGAATGCTGGCAGTTTGGTCCAGTTTGGAAGATAAAGAAAACAAGACATGCAAGGCAATTCCTCTGAAATGGCTGCTCTGGCTCTATTTTAATATGGCTCCACTCATGTCATCTTTCATATCTATAACAACATACTTAAAAGCAGAACTGGTATCATATTTATTTATGTATCTGTCTGTTCAGGCTAATGGTACTCCTTTTTACCACACCCTTGAGTTAACACAATTTCCATACAAACAACGATGGATCTTTTCTAGGACAATTATTACAGAACAACAAAAAAATGTATATATAAACAGAAAAAAAAATATAAACACAGATCACCTTGGAGAGAGAAAGTACTTTGGAACATGTTTTATAAATAGCAACATCTTTGATCAATATGACAAACCACTGTAAATCTTTTCATAGTCTCAATACACAAACCTGTTGGGAGATCAACCAGCTGAAGTTCATTTCTCACTAATCCCATATTGTTTGGTGTTGAGGTAGCAAAAGAAAGAAAACCAGTTAAACTCGTCCATTCAATACCCCTATAATGAGAAATTAAAAAGATTAATTTAATATCCTTTTTTGTTTGAAAAATTTATTTGAAAAGTAAGTTTTTCCTAAGACTTAAATTTTTTTACACAAGTTAATTAAGAAATAATATGTATATGACCTTTTATTTGAGACTATATTACTATATATTTCCAACTTATATGAAATTATTTCTAATTAAAACTTTATCTCCAAATGTAAGAACAAGATAGTTTAGTTATCAGGATTCACAGCAGCATTAAAATAACCATTAAAATCCGGCAAAGGAGAGAGTCACATCACTGTCGTTTCCAAGAATTCCACTGCTTAAAAACTAGAGGTATAAAAATATTCTGAGCAGACTGCTAAGTGAGTACACTTAGGAATTTTATCAAAATTCCTAGTTGGTTAGGAAGCAGAAATTCCTGAAGCAAACATACGAACTGAGCTGTTAGATTTGGAAGTGGTGGAAAGTTCTAAATGGTATATCAATTACGGAAAAGCACAAAAGAAAAATTGCAGAAGAAAGACATGTATGACAAGACGGCAACCTATCGACCTAATGCCCTGGGAGTCTCCTTTATGTGGGACTGAGAGTAGGTGAGTCCGTGTTTTTTCCCACTAACATAACTGGAGAGTGTTCACCACCATGGCTTGCAGAGAATGGAAGAGAGGGCGGACACAAGACAACTGGACTCATCAGAGTCATGGGAAGAAGTGAGAAACACTCTCCTATTACCTTACACTGCTTACAAGCTAATAGAGACTGGCTAGGAGGGAAATCTAAATCTTTGTTCTATATGCAATTGCACATCAGTGTTTATGAGACAACCATTTTTAACAACATAGTGTCTATAGCTGCTTTCATGATACAATGGCAGAGTTGAGTAGTTCTAACAGAAACCTTATGGCCTGCAAAGCCTAAAATATTTACTGTCTGGTTCTTTACAGGAAACGTTCGCTGACCCCTGATCTAGTTTATCCACTTCTACTTCAATTTGAATGCTATTGCTAGATTTAGCATTAAATACTGCTCTGAATATATCTCTCATTTGTCCAAGAAGGTACAATGGCTCCCTACATCATATCTAAACTTCTCTATGTGACTTTCAAGGCCACCAGACCATTTGCCTCATCCTACCTGACCAAACTTACCTCTCAATCATCTGAACCTTGCCTGCTATTTTAACTGGAGTACCTTTCCTCATTGACCCCTGTGTAGCCACCTACTTGTCTTTTCTTAGAGGGGCAAAGATAACCCCGAGAGAACCAAAAATAATATTTGCAACAGCAGGGAATTGCTGTAGTTATCAAGGACTATAACTCTTTAAATGTAAAGTTGTATTGAAACACTCAGATTAGGCTGCTTAAAACAGTAATCTTGAGAATTTCCATGCCTCGAATGACCTCTCTCCTTCCCTCTTCAAGTACCATTTGAGTTCAAGTTCTGGCTCCAGCACTTACTGGCTCTGTGCTCTCTACATCTCAGTTTCCTCATCTGTTGGGCAGAAATAACAACACTGAGTGCATGAAGAAGGCCTGGCACATGGCAAGTGCTATACATATTAACAATTATCATCATTATCATTATTACTCTTATTTCAAGATGGAACTCAAGGCCTATTTTCTTCATGAGGCCTCCTCAGTCACTAAATTCAAACCACACCTATAGGGAATACAATATAATTTGGTTAATTATTCACTGGAAAAGTCCCTTTGTCTCTTTTCTCTCTTTCTCTTCCCTAACATGTAACAGTACTCATTAAGTTTTCTATTTAGGGCGAAAAGGAGAGAAGAATCATTCTGGACTCATTCTGCCCTCTACCTAAGTCTGGTAGCTTCAATCAGATGTTTACCCACAGAAACCTTAAAGCACACTCTCCAAATCTTGTTGCTGGCAATCTGAACTACTCATGCTCCAGTATAGTAATGCCACTATCCCTGGACATTAAGAATTCCAGTCCTCCCATTCTTCATTCGTTATTTTAAACAATAAATCTGTTAAGTAGCAGTATATGCTAATGGCTGTGCTATTAAGTACCAAGAATACAGCAGTGACTGTCCTAGGCACTGGGAATACAGCTGTGAATGAGGTGGATATAACTGCTGTCCTTCAGCTTAGGATCTAGTAGAAAAGAGACATTACACAAGTGCATTCTGTATTACTGACTACAAAAGAGAGTGGTGCAGAGTTCAACAGGCGCTTGTAAGAGTCCCATGGAATCTGATCTCAGGAGCCAGGCAGGGCTTCCTGGAAAACCATTAGCTCAGACCCAAAGGGCAAATAGGGTTTTGCCTGAAAGCCTGAGCAACTGAGGAAATAGTGTGACTGGCTGAGAAACACTCACTACACTGTACTCTTCTTTGAAGGGAGGTACCATGTCACATCTCTCCAGGACATGACAGGCACTCAGTAAATTCTGTTAGATTAAATGAATGACGTCCAAGAAGAGCCTGGCACTCCTCCTTACGTTTATTAGTGCCACGCATATTCAGAGAAGTGCTTTCCCCACTGTTTACAAGACGTCCCAGTGTTCAGACTATCACAGAACATAGGGTCGCTGCTTATTTGTAACCAAGCACTATGAGCATGCTGCCTTTGAGCAGATTTCAGCAGCACCTTATACATCTGACTCCTACTGATCAATTGAAGAAAATAAAAATTAAGCTGAACTTTAAAGTAGATTAGATAAGGAAAGGATTATTTGTCAGAAGAAAAGAATGAAAACTCTTGTCAAACAAAGCTGAGTACCACACTGTTCCCAGGATTATAAAACTACTGTCTAGGTTTAACTACACACTGAGCTCTATAAAAACCTCATAAGAACAGCAGCTCATTTTCTGACTCAATCTAGGACTGCTGTGCAGGATTCCTAACTACTGAAAAATAGTAGCCTTAGAATCTATCAGCAGGTGTTTGGGGTTCTGACTCCTACAGGTTCCCAAGTTGTGCCTGTTGACCTTTACTGGGGATGCTACAGAGGCTACTTCTCAACACTGGGTGGCTGAGGGGAGCACACACTTTCTGAAAGGCTTTGAAGTTCTATGATTATATGAAACTAACTTCTGCAAATTTACAGACAGACAAAATAGAGATCATTTTACTTTCCACAAATCACTCAATTTACTCAAAGTAATACTGAGTCAATCAATGTTCTGATACCCATATAAACTACTATATTAATTTCTGACACTGAAAATAATAGCGGGTTATATTATTGTAAATTTAGCTTATTGGACAAAGACACAAACTAACAATCTAAGAAAACCTACACATACCACTTGTTTACTTCTTGGTACCTTTCACCAGATTATAAGCCTCAAAGATGCTGTCTGTTTACAGGCATATAGAAGATGCTCAATACATATTTGTAAAGCATAACTGGTTAAACATCATGGTTTTACCAAACCACACAGATGCAACTTCCTGCAGTTAGGCAGTCCCTGGTCATGTGTATGCATCAGATTCAAGTACTTAAGTGATTTTAAAAAACACATTTAGTATAAGGTAGAAAAACAACTTCCTAAAAGTCGGCCTTTAATCTGCATATGAATATCTAGAACATATTGGGTTTACTGCTAATAAGTTCAGCAATTTTTATAACACATCTGTGAAATTTTTATAATGGCTTTTAATTGTAATACTATAATTGCATTAATTGAAACACAAAGACAGCAGGATTTCAGCATCCTCTTGGGCACCATGACTGGATATAAAATGTGAATTATCTTCAAAATGGCAATTAGGAGGGAAAATTTGCATTAAAAAATGGCGCATATTTGTGTGATCATTCACAACACCAGCCTGTCTGTGTAGCACATCCCTTAGAGTTATCTGGTATCTCAAGTAACACTTTATAAATTCCAGTGTTACTCAATAACAAATACTATCATAGCATGTGTAAGTCATGTATTTAGTGACATCTATGACCTGACTGATCCAGGATAACAAATCTTACTTAAAACGAATAGCTTACTGATAAACTAGCTATTGTGCCTTAATTAAAGATTTCAGTGTTCAGAAAAAAATGAAAATGTGCTTGACTTCCCAGAAGCATGTATCAAATGCTTAGCACGAACCTTGGTTCAGCCAACATTTTTATCTTATTGCCAAAATCTTTCCTATTAATCTATGTGCATTTTTTAACTGGAGACCCAGCACATATACCATGCATAGAGTATAAGAGCTCAGCTGTGAAGCCTGAAAGGCCTAGACGGAATTCCATCTCCCTTTTCACAGATTACTCCACAACACTCAGTTCCTTCTTCTGTGAACTGGGAATAATTACAGTGCCTACCACCTAAAGTTGTAGTGGGAATTCAATGAAATACATGCCAAGTATTAATACTTAACATATCTTTAGAACAAGTACTGATTAAATGAAGAGCTCTGATTGGCTGGTGTTAGCCATAAAAGGAAACACTATACACACAAGTCAAGGGTGAACGCAAACGCCAAGAGGACTACAGGCAGGAAAGAGAGAGAGAGCAGACGGCAGCAGCGGCAGCAGGGGCCCCGGGAAGAAGAGACAGACGGCGGATAACCACCTGAAGGTTCCAGACACCTGCGTTGCTGCACCCTAAAAGCCTAACGCTTCCGAAGACGTTACTACTCCAGGTAAATGTGTTTAGGGAGGCACTGGAGGGCACAGCATAAGGTGGCGATCAACAGTCACCCCGGCTGCCCCACAAAATAATGCGCTTGAACGAATAAGGCACTGTAACCTTTTCAGAAACTTCCATCGCTATCTGCTGCTGTGATACTTAAAGGGTTAACCCTTCCCCATTCCAAAAATGCACTTACTCAGAATAACGTGTCCACTAAGGGTTCACTAAGAATTTTAACATATACGTGAGACCTATTCTTATATAACGTAGAGAGGACAAAAAATGGCCTTTCTTATACTTGTTAGAAGATCATCAAAAAATACTGGCAATTTAATAAGTTTATACTATACATGTGTAACTTTACAATCCATCATTGCTAGGGCAACAAAGGGAAAATAGCTATCCAATCAGCAAAATAATGCCACGGAGCACATATGTATGCCTTTTAAAACAGAAAGCAAGAGGCATTCTTCTGTCATTTTAGCCCTCCCTCAGATAGCTCTGCACACACAGCACTCATAAAACAGATCACATCTCAAAATGAAAGAATAAGTGCTATACAGTTTTAGTCCTTTTCTGATGGTGTTTAAACAAAGAAATGAGATTAATTAACAATTAAAAAGACTACTCAAATTTTTCACAAGCAATCTTACTGACGGATCTGTATAGAAATGAAAAACAAAAGAAATAAACCTGGATAAGGGAAAACAGTGATTTCCAGTAAGAAAATAGCCTGGACCTTAAGAGAAATAAATAAGATGCAGCAATAGAAGTGAGAAAAAATTCTCCACTGCATAACATCCTGTACAAAGCAAACTGTTAGTACTCATCTTGATTAGCATAGCCGTTAGTTGCACATGAATATTTATTATTCAAAGTTTTCAGTCAAATAATCACCAGTGCAGAGTATTCAATGTGGAAAAGTCTATGAGAACTTTTTTCAGGTATTCTGTATGTTTGTAATCTCAACGACACGACATACTCACTTGACTTCACAGGAGTGGACACTTAACTCCTTATGTAGCAGCCCACTGGTGAGATGGTACACCAGGACAGAACCGTTACTTGTACCTATCAAGATGATGTAACAGAAGAGTATTCATCCAGTGGGAGTTCCAGATCTTTCCAACAAGACTTTTCTCAAGATTTTAATCATTTTACAACACTTATCTTTTACAAAAGGTATGCAAGCTATGTGTTAAAAAAGAGTGAATTTCTCTGTTTTCTGTTTTATCAAAAATGGGCCTATTCTCATGTGCTCTAAAATCTTATCTAAATCTATCCATAGATTTTCACAGAAAGACTTCAAAACCTGGCTCAATACACATAAAATCTGAGGAAGCACTTTCCCAAGCTTTTTTACACATGGGAGTTTATACTTTTTGAGATTCAGAATGTTTATTACAGCCAGACCTCAAAAGAGCAACTCATTAACCAGATTTTTCTACTTTTCCTTACAAAGATTTTGGTTTTTTTTTTAATTTTTATTTTATTTATTTTTTCCCCCAAAGCCCTAGTAGATAGTTGTATGTCATAGCTGCACGTCCTTCTACTTGCTGTATGTGGGACGCGGCCTCAGCATGGCCGGAGAAGCGGTGCGTTGGTGCGCAGCTGGGATCCGAACCCGGGCCGCCAGCAGCTGAGCACGCGCACTTAACCGCTAAGCCACGGGGCCGGCCCTAGATTTTGTTTTTTATATTAAATAAATCATAAAGAGAGGGGGAAGTGGTGGCTGACTGTGGAGTCTGCAGTTGAAGACTGAGTTGGAGAAGCCCTGGCTTTGCCCACATGCTCCTACATATTACTTGCCCACATTAAATCTGTGTTTTTATCCCTTTAACGTGGGAATAATGGAAAATCTGTTGGAGATTAAATGAGAAGACATATGTAAAACACTTAGTACACTACCTGGCACAAAGTAAGTACATGATTACTATTTCTGTTATCACTGTAATTATGGTTTGTAGTTATTATTATGCCTAAAGCTGTTTATGGTCTCAGGCAGTGTGTCTAAAATTTAATTTGAAGGGACATGGCCACAGCTGAGAAAGTAATGTTTCACTCCTTAAAATGTTTTTATAAGTTAAGAAAAGTGAACAGTGTAATTGGTTGGACAAATACTTTCTCACTGCACATGACTTAAAAGGATTCATACAAAGCAATAGAATGTAGAAATACTAATAAAACAGAATAATAATCATAATAAATGTAAAAATGCTAGACAAGTTCCAATTTTAGCTTACTTGCTGAATAAAGCCAGAAGTTTTTTACAAAACTATTCCAGAAACATACTTGTTTACAATTATCATCTATTCCACAATAATATCTTCTAATACTGAGAAAACATCTAAAGAATTACTAAAACTTTTCAACTAACAGACCTTCATAATAATCAAATGACTTCTACATTATGCAAGTTATGATGATGTTAAACCTATGATCTAATACTCTAGGGGCATCACAAGGAGAAGTAATTCCACAGCTGAACTCTGCTTCTCCTCCCTAGTGACTACGCAAAAGTTTAGGCACTTATTTTATATGTTTTGCTTTTACTATGTTATTACACTAAATTCAATAAATGACTTGATATTCACTATAAACCAGTATAATACAAGTTATTCTACAATGGAAATTTCAAACCCTGATTTAGCTCTTATTATCTAGCTTTCTCAAGAAGTAGGTTTCTTTATGAAATTGACAAAATCCTAATTGATAAATTAGGTATATGACAATGTATATACATGTATATACAATGTACAGTGAGATATCCTAATTAGAATCTGTATAACAGTCTTAATATGAATCAACAGTTTCTAAAGCAAAAATTAAACATTCATCTGCATTTATATAAATCTGAACATATGTACACACAGACTACTAAACCTTAAAATTCAAATCACTTTCAGAAGACAGTAATGGAAAAATAAGAAAATAAGAATATTGTCAAATAGTAATATTCAAATGAGCCTTGAGTACTCAGAAGTCAGCCATTAAGCTGAGACATACTAGCAGCAAAACAAATGTGCTAAGGTTTTCATTTTAGAAAGTAAAAAAAAAAACAACCACAAATCACATGTTTGTAGACCTGGGGAGAAAGCCAGAAGCCAAACAATGGCATCTTAAAAGAAAATGGTGACAATTTCAAACAAATGTAGCATTTTTTGAAATTTTAGAGAAATATATTTTAACCTTATACACTTAACAGCAAATTAAAATTTGGCTTTCTCTATAAAGGAAATTAGGTTACTCACATTACTATGAAATTAATGTGACAAGAAGTTGAAACCTAGACCAATTTTTCTATCTACAACATAAAAATATGCAATTTCAACCCAAAAGGCAAATCTTATAGAGATGACAGCCACTTTAAACAATGTTTAGTATACACTTCTCAGCAAATGAAGAACACTGCTGTTATTAAACTATTAACTATGACTATACTATTAGTTAACAAAGACCCAATACAAAAGGACATGCCCAGAGAGAGCCTGAGGCAGCCCAGGAAATGACCAGGAGCTGGATTCAGCATCACACAGGGACCTTCCTGACATTTCAGAAACGAACCCATAGTGTCAGGGTCTCTATCACCCAGTGTCAGGTGGATGAGTTATCATTGTGATTAAAAATAAATAACTAAAACGATTAAAAGGACAGAAAAAAAAAAATATTCCAAGATGAGTATTTACATGATTTCACTTAGCCTCTTCTCCCTCTTAAAGCATTCTCAAAGAATAAAGGATTTTCTAGTAACTAAGTAACTTAAATATCTTACAAAATATAGAACAAGCAGAAGAATTAAAAAAAGAACAGGTCCAATACTCACCAACAGCAAGCAGCGGCTGATACATCCTGATGTTTTTTGTGGTCAACGGTGGGCACATTCGGACAGCAAACTGTGGTGAGGGCAGTCCTGACAGCAGCCCTGTGAGTAGGAATTTGAGATGCACTTCCTGCAGAATGGAGCCTTTGGGTTGTTCTTCCCCAGCAATTGCACTTTGCCCTGATTTGTAATAAGAAATACAAATATATTAATTATAACATATGCTGATCTTAGAAATCTAAAGAAATTTTTCAGTGGAAACATTCTTCAGGTCTAGGAAAGACTCTCCAGGCATAGAAGCATATACTCAAGTCTACAAGGTGTAATGTGGCACTCTAAGGGCTGTGGCTACGCAATGGCTTTGAACTTGACTATGGGACTTCAACTGCATCATCTAACATCTCAAGGGGTAGATTACTCCAGAGTATTGCTATCTAGAATTCAGGGACCTTTGTTTTCTAAGAAACACAGTTTCAGCCAAAGTTGCTGGTATTAGGACACCAAAGGCAAATCAAGAGGACTTGGGTTAGAGAAGAGTGTCCACGGAGAGGGATACTGGAGCACATTCCTGTCTTATCGTCTTTCTAAATGGTTACTTTTCAATCTGACGCACTTTGTCAAGTGCATATAAAATTGGTAATCACAAACCACAGGTTCAAAGAACTCATTTAGATTTCTAATAAGAAATCTTAATGTGTCAATGTAATTACAAAATTTAACCTTTTAATTACTTTATATATAAATATGTAAAATATAAAAATGTATATATTAATAAATAATATATAACCTATACACTGTCACTGTTGAGAGTTGTCTTAAATGGCGTTATTTTTAGATACAGCATTCATACTTAGGTTATCAAGTCTCAAACTAAAAAGATGACTCGAAAAAAAACCATTCTAACAAAGTGAATATGACGAGTTCAACAAAATCAAAACCATTCACTAAACAGGGTATACGAATTTTCTTCTTATAACCCACTACTGAATACTGGGATGAAGTTGTCAAAAGCACATAATAAAAAGAATATGTGTGAGTGTATATAATATATGTACACACATACACATATACTGTGAAAGGGAAAATGTAAATAATTACTAGGAGTGGGTGATGGGATTCTGATGATAACCTTTTGAGGCTGTAAAGTTGATTCAATAATAACGTTATTTTAAAACCTGTAAGACATACAGAAAAAATGGCCACCAATTTAATCCAAATAAAGTGATCCCTTGTGATCAGCCATACAATTAATATCGATCTTTGGTAACAAAAGATGGGGTCTAAAGGAATGGGAAGTTCAACAGGTAGGCACCATGTTTACCAACCCTGGTAGCTTGGAGTTGACTCCAGGGAACTGCCTTATTTTTCTTCAAGCATCTTCCATAAGAGGCAATTCACAAGGTAGGGCAGATTAGGCCTTAATAAGCAGCAGTCTTTATCCAATGAATATAAATCAGGCCTCCATATTTAACTGAATCGCTTTCAGTTATCACTAAGTACACAGTGAATTTCAAATTAAAAGTTTAATTAAAAGTTTTAATTAAAATGTTTTCGAGTAACAAAGCTTTATTTATTTAATACTTTTAAATCAACTACACTGTCAAGAACTGCTATACAATCTGTATCCTTTTGGCTCTTAAAAAATATAATTTATTATCACTTAGTTACCTAAACAGCATAAAATTTCAACCTCCTATGGGCTTCATATTACTGATTAGTTCTGTGAACGTGTCTGTAATTCCTTTCGCTTTAATATTTTATATTAAGTGCAGATAAGGTCAATTAACTCAGAAAATTGTGTTGCTGATAAAATGAATTTTGCAAAACAATTATGTGTCTGAACTTCCTCATATGGATTTACGTCTGGAAGGTGAAGAGAAAACCATTTTAAACATCCAAGTTAGTGTTACTGAGCAAAAGGACTTTACAGCTGGCAGGAATTATGAGAACACCAAGGCCTGGAGAGGTCAGGTCCTGAGGTGACGGGAGCGGGCCCCAGACCGGGGTGACGGGCTCACACTGTGGCTCTTCTACTTGCCGGCTGTGTGGTCCTGGGCAAGCGTCTTCAGTCTCTGTGGGCCTCAGACCCACACACACGAAACGGAAGTGATAACAATATTACCTACCTTGCAGGGTTGTTAAGGTGACACGTAGAGCATTTAGCACAGTGTTGAGCATAGTATTAAGCACTCAGTAAATGTCCTTTCTGATTAAGAAGAGTAATAAGGTAACACTCTTTCTAGAATATCATCTATCTAGCATTTAAACAGAAAAACCTAGTAAATAATTTCTATTTTCAATGACACCATGGAAGAACAAATAACGATACAGAAAATCCTTTATAAACCACGGCTACAATTTTAAAAGAATTAGATGTCAAAATTCCTTGGCATATTTACAATTTCTAGTTGTATAATATTTGAAATTACAAATCCTCATTCTTCCTTTAATATATACTGACCCTAAGATAATAAAATAACTTTGAAGCATTATCTTATCCGCAAACAAATATTTGTTGAAAGAATCCCCAACATGAAAATAAGAAAATGTATGTCAAACAGTTAATTTTTCCTAATACTGCTCAGTTACTTTATTCCTTCAATAAATATTTATTGCACATCTACAATGTGCAAGCCCCTGTGCTGAGTGCTGGGGACACAAAGTTGAATCAAACACTGTCCCACCCTTGGGGAGCTTATAACACAGTGGAGGAAACAGACAAATAAAATCACAATTACTATCAGCTGATAACTACTAGGGACCACAAAAGAACAACATTTACATCAGGCTTGGGAGATGAAAAAGAGCAACACTTGAGCTGAATTTTGAATTAAGAGCAGTAGAAAGGGAGAGAGAGGAAGCGTGTATTCAATTCTGAGCTGAGGGACCAGGGAGCATGAAGGCCCAGAGGAGGTATGGTATGGCTCAGCAAGGGCTTATCTACTATCCAAATGCCTAATGTCATCTCCTTCATTTAGATCAGTCTCTCGCAAATGAACACTGTCTAATTCCAACAATATAACGCCAATCTATACTACTTCAGGCACTGTTATGCTCAAATATTTTATACCTCTCTGATTTATTTGGGAAAGAATGATTCTATATTTTAGTTTTCTCAAGTATTAACTTTGACTTTATAATAATTGCAATCAGTGATTCTACTAATTTTTGCCTTCAAAAAGAATACCTAACATAAAAGTTAGAGACGAAAAAGCAGCTTACCAATCATGTTATCTAAGGAGAGGTCTGGGAGTTTATTCTGTAGCACTCCTACAGGAATTCCACAGAAAGACACTGGTGAATACAAAGGTGACACACCAGAACTACTGCAAAGACATAATAATTGGATGGTTTTTACATATTTAAAAGCTGCATCACATGTTAGAAACTCAAATTACTAATTTCAGATCATGGCATTCTGTCTAATTTTAGAGTATTTATTCATCTTACCCATAGGTGAAACATCTCTAACAGGTTTACATAATTCCCTAATAATCGAAAGACTTAATTAGCACTTTAAAAATATTTTTTATAGAAAAAAGTGCCTGCTATTTTAATATAATTCTGGTAATTTAAAAAAAAAGAGGAAACAGAAAACAAAACAAAACAAAAGATCCTACCGATTCATTTACCTGTTCCGTGAATTTCGATTACAAACAGCAGACTTCAGTTCCCATATCATGACCCTGCCATCACTCACTATGAGGGCAGCTGCGTTCTCGTTGACAGGACAACACACCATACAGAAGGGACGCACAGTTTTTGTCACCCTGATTGCATCACACTGGCTTCGTAAATCATAGGTAAGCTCCTGGACAGGATCTGGATCTTAAAATAGTTAAGACAGCAGCCACATCAGTATCATTACTATTTGCTTTAATTTAACCTCAACTAAACAGGATACCATTCCTTCACTAATGCAAAGTTTGTCAAGAATGGCTTTCCTTTTTACAATTACTAATTTCTTCAGAAAATAAAGATAATTCACTTAATGACTGTGTACACTAAGTTTAATTTCCAAAATAACAACTATAATCAAAATAGCTTATTTTAAAATATTTTTAAAATAAAGAAAATGCTTTGAAAAACGATGAACAGTAATATATGATTAGATAACGAACAGTGCCCTAGAGAGCATAATTTACAGTGGTCTACAATAAGCCGGAAAATAATTGTACTTTACAAAAGATGTGAAAGTCACTTTCACCTTTACATAGTACATCATTTCATGAAAACATTATTTTTATTCTCCAGGAACAGAAAACTGACAACGGAATGCCCTGGAGACTTATTAACCTCTGTCACTTTACCACGGAAATTCCTAAAGCAGAGAAGTCAAGGGGGTCTAATAATAAAGGATATACAAGGGTGGACTTGTGTTAAAGAAAAATTCACAAAAGATAACAGCTACTTGGCTCATGGATACAATCAAGAAGGGATCACAAGATATGACTTTCTTTCCTGTTCTATAGAGGTGCAGTATTACGACACCAAGTGATTAATCTTGGGCTCGTGCTTTTTTATGCCCCATATTATGAGCATATTCTACTTTCTCAAGGCAAGGATTATCATTAACTCTATGCTTTGGTTGGTATTTGCCACATGAAGCTTTATAAAATAATTCTGAAGAAAAATATAATTAACATTATTGCGAGATATAAACTCACCTGGTTCCTCATTTGAAGTGGTGAAAATACTGTTATAAGATCTTCGAACACGTAAGGTTATACAACCATTTTCATGTAGGCAAAACAAACCATCACGTTGAAAGCAGGGTATTACCTTTAAATAGATGATGTATTTATTTTTAAAAACACAACAGATAAAAAGTATATACAGTGAAACTCATATGGGCAAAAAACAAAAGAAGAATAAAATACATAATCCCCAAGCTTTAACACTAAATAAACATCTAAAAAATCCATTTATAATCCTGAAACATTTGTCTTTATCCATGTAACTTAAACAGTTCAGTAAATATCACCAGATCAGTCACAAGAATTTCTAGGGTAAATCAAACCAATCAAAAGTGCAGAAAAATAAGGAATGTAAAATAACATTGTTGATCTTTAAATAAATAGAAAAGAGCAAGTAGAACTAAGGACTTTTGCAAGATTATGGTTTTCTCTATATAACATTCATAATCAACTTTTGGCGATGTAATTTATAAACTGTAGATACCTGCAGAAATGGAACTCCTGTTCGCTCTATTGCAATCACACCCACTGTCTGATTCACCTCAAGGTCAAGGATTAAAATCTCTCGAGGATAGAGTAACAACATGTGATTCCTTTTGGAAGGCAGATACGCCAACTGAAGGCAATCATTGAGAGTTATGAATTCAGCACTGAAAAAAGTAAACATTTACTTTAGGCATCGAGAAATGAGTCCAAGACTTTATTCATATCAGAAAAACCTAATAAAAGATGGAATTTCACACTTTCCACATAACTGTCAATGAGAATGCACAATGTTTCCTGAAATGACCAACATGTGCTAGCATCTAACACTTAGACCTCTCCTATGTGTCAAACTCCAATTTATGACAATAATAGTGTATAGGTGGGATAGAGACGTGTTTCTAAATTTTTGAAAAATTTAAAGCAGTAAGAGTAAGTGTATGATATAGATGGTAAGTGACAATACTATATTGGCATTCATAAGATAGAAGTTGTATTTTTATTTTGCAATTAGAAGTACTAGACAGAGTGCTGAAATTGAGACTCAAGATTAAAAAAAAAGCATTTAGGGTAACTGGGGCCAGGCTGCTGGATCAGGAGTCAATGGACTATCTGTATGGCCTTGGGCAAGTCACTTCCTCTACTCTGCCTTCATTCACTTTTAAGCTGTCTTAAACCTTTTTTGAAACAAAGTAGGATATTTATTCCCTTATGACAGCATTTTCTTCGGTGTAAATAAAACAGATGAAATGATATGAAAGACTGTTAAAGAGTCTCAAAAATCATTTTATTAATTTGTGATTATTGTATATATTTAATCACAATCTTTTTTATGTTAAATATATTTCATCACAACCTTTTTTATGTTAAATATATTTCAATAGGAATAGATATACAATTATGTACTATTTTCTTTTTACATAATAATTTTATTAAAAAGTTTTAAGATTTAAAATAAAGTTAGATTCGAGGATGAGAGAGAGGGATGTGGACTGCATTAAAATCCTGGCTCTGCCATTTTCTAGTTAGATGAGCCTGAGTAACATATTTAAAAGAATATGGGACTCAATTTCCTCATTTATAAAATGGGCACACTACTACTACCCAGGATTGTAGTAAGATTATATGTAATAACGTATATGAAAGCACCCAGAGCAGATCTATTTGAAGGGATAATGAATGCATTTCTCCAATACTCAAGATGAACATATGATTCATATGAGAAAATATAACATACATAAATCATAACTTATAAAACTATTTAGACTACAAAATATTTATTTATGACATCAAATCAATAACAAGTAGAAAGTTCTCTTAAGATATTTAAAGAGCAATAAAATTATTTTGGCACAGGGTGGGGGACAAATTAGTGAACTTAACCAGCCTATGGTTTAATATATAAAAATGATACTTACCTATAAATTCAGAATGTATTTGTAGAGCAATTTGTACTTTACCACATATTTTTCAGGTAATTACCCACAAAGTCTAGATAGGACAATCTTAGCATATTAAAAATAAAGGCTTTTTAAAAAATGAATGCCCAAAACAACTGCCAAAGCAATAAAAATATAAGAATAATCATAGCTCTAAGAAAAAGACAGAAACTTATTTCTAAGGCATAAAATTAGTTACTTCAAATAAAATTTTATTCAGTTGCAATTTGTGAAATAAACAGTAATAGCTAGCATTTACCAAATGAATGCTTACTAAGTTATCAGCCACTATGTGAAGTTCTTAAGTTAAGGTTTCTATTAACCCTTACAATAACCCTCTGAAATCTTTTAAAACACTATTTTAGAGATTAGGAGAGTGAAATTTGAGCAAAATTAAAGAATTTTTTAAGTCATATAGCTACAGCTTCCCCTAGAATCCTGGCCCTTAACCGGTATGGGAAACATGTCTACATGTACAAGAGAAACAACCATATTACTGGCAAATGAGACTGTACAGCATTTAAGTCAGGAAAATGTTATTTAAAATGAAAATCCAGCTTTTGTCTCCAATTTTTTTTTTTTTTGTGAGGAAGATCAGCACTGAGCTAACATCTGACGCCAATCCTCCTCTTTTTGCTGAGAAAGATTGGCCCTGAGCTAACATCTGGGCCCATCTTCCTCTACTTTATATGGGATGCCTCCACAGCATGGCTCTACAAGCAGTGCGTTGGTGCGCACTGGGATCCAAACCGGCGAACCCGGGCTGCCGCAGCAGAGCACGCGCACTTAACCGCTTGCACCATCGGGCTGGCCCCCCAAATTTTGAATATATTCAATAGCCAGAATTTTGGAATCTTCGCCTCATATTTTCAGAAGTAAAAATCAGAAGCAAAAATTTTAATCTGTAAAAAATCAATGGAGGGAGTTTAGCACAATTAGTGGAAACAAAGGAACCATTTAAACGCTGAATCTCCTCTTAGGGGAGGAGACAAAAAACATTTTTCCTCTTATAAATTCAAAATGAGAAACAAGAAAGGGTGAGATGAAGAAGAAAATCAATCTTAGTACTTCACCAAAAAAAGATGTTTTCATGAAGAGATGATAGATAAATGTTGAATAAATGTATGAACGTTATTATTAGTTTACACTTGTAACTTACCTAGGTTTCTCTTGAGTGATTAAGATTTTTACTTTATTAAGAGCCTTCTTGGCCCCTGTGGCCGTAGCCAGCTTGTTGTGAGCTGGGCTGGAGTGTGGGCTGGAAATATACACTTTTTTCCCAGGGCCTGAGGGAGGCTTGGCTGGAGAGAAGTCTGAGATGAACACAATACCCTCACTGGTGAGCACTATATTGGAGAAGGAAAACTATGATTAAAGTTTAATCAGGTTTAGCACAGAGTTTTATTCCAACACAATTTTGAGAGCAAAGTAATGATAATTTTAATATAGAACTGGCAGTGTTATGCAGTCGTAACATAATGGGAATGTTCTCCAAGCTGAAGTGAAACAGGTGGTCCATTACAATTTATCAGAGGCCTCTGAGCTCAACATCCTAACTTAATGTTTTATATTAAAAAGATACCAGAAGGTTATTGGCAGAAAGAGCAAATGTTTGTTCTTCCAAATAAATTCAGTGCACGGACTTTCATTAAAAACCTTTCGTCATTATATCCTCTAACTTCAAAATCCAAAGACTTCAGAATATAAAATTCACAGAAGAAAAAAAAAATCCCATATTAGACTCACATATTACACTTAGTTAAGTTCAAATATTTGATTTGATACTAATTTTTTATGATTATCATGAGCTACTCAGTCTAAATACATTTCCTTTTTCTTCTTGAGCATCATATTGAACCCTAGGATGTGTAAAGAGTGTTCTTTTTCTCTTTATATTTAGAGTAAAAGTAGAGTGCCAACAATGGCTCACTAAGTGTACAGGAAACAGAAATATTCAAGGAGGCGGCACCATATTTAGCAATACAAATTATGCCTTTTCCTGACTGAAAATATAATCTCCCTCAGGACTGGGACTGACTAATACCATCTGAGCAGAAGAATCTTCTCTGGCTCCCCGCAGTTAGGGAGACTGCTTTAGGCACAGGGAACAAAGAAGTATTCAAGAGTTATGACAACCCTAGCACATTCAATGAGTAAATCAAAGACGTCAGGTCAGCTGACACTGTGAAATATATGGTGTTTTCATCAACCAAATTACAGGGGTGCAGTAATTTAGCCTGAAGCCTTGTCTCCTTTTCAGCCTACAGAAGTCATCCTTCAAGGTCCCACTCGTTTTTCTCCTTTTGTGATTCCCTCCCTCCCTGACTCTGCCAGCTGAGCCACCCTCCTGCGCTTCTACAACATTGCATTTCATAGCAAACTAGTGAGAGAGTGAATGTACGAATGCATCCATTCACAGACACACATCTATATACACCAACCCTAAACACTCTGTATTGCACTCATTTATACACCCATGTTTCCCATTTTAATTTCTACCTGTCTACCCTTCTTTTCCTCCTTCAACGCACACATATAAATGCTGTGGATTTACATCCCTCAATAAATGCTGGTGGATACAAGTTAGAATTCTGAGTCATTCAAATCCAGGGAAAACCTTCTTTACCATAGCTAATTCCTTTACCTCCTCCAAGTTTTTGATCAAATACCAAAATGAAGCCAACTTTGACTACTTTATCTAATATGACAACCTGCCCACTCCCATTCTCCTTATCCTGTTTTACTTTTTATATCACTTATAACCTCTTAATATACTAGAATTTATTAATTCATTATGCTCATAGTTTAGGATCTGACTCCCTCTCACTAGACTACTTACTAACTCTATGAAGGCAGGAATCCTTGTCTCGGTTCACTGATATATTCCCAGTTCCCAGAACATGCCTGACATATAGTAATAGCTCAAGAACTATCTGTTGGATAACTGAATAAAGAATATTTTCTAAATAATTTAGTCACAAAAATATCTGTGTAAAAGCAAATCTAATTTTCAGATCACTAGCTCAGTAAACACCAAAAGCACATTGGCCAAAACAACCTTTGCAAGAAAAAATCCCCTTGGGCTTATTCTGTTCCTTACATGTGTCTGTTTAAGGTACTCAAAACACATGGCATGAATTAGAATAATTTTTTACAAAGGAAGAACTGAATTTGGCCATGGACTAAATGAAACCCTTGACTCTTTAAACGTTCCTAGAAAAATAAATTTAATTAAGTCTGAATTAAAACAGCACAGCAACTCTCCCTGGCTAATCTAATTCTATTCAAATTCAACACAGCGAAGATCTAGCTTGCAGACTTAAATTTCTAACTATCAAAATATTTGCAAATGCTATGGGGTTATCATTTAGTATTTGTATTAGGAGCTGCAGAAATATGGACTAGATGTGCTTCTCCATTTTGCTCAGTTGTTTTAACATTAGATGTATGATGTGTGTTGTGTGCATCTTACGTATACAGCATTAACTATACTATAAATACCTCAACTCATTTTCCACAAGAGACTATTACTCACAAGTTAAATGTGAGGGATCAAAAGGGTCAAAAGAAAAAGAGAGAATGTTATCTGCATAGCTCTTCTTCCACAGTTTGGTGCCAGTATCTGCATTCCAGAGCACAATATAATTTGGCGGGTGGATAGCAAGCAGTAAATCTCGGGAAGCATCTTGATTCCACAGCCACTGAACATCTGTAAAGACCAGATGAATAAAGGCAAAACTGAGAAATCACCCACTTCAAAATATTTGGCAAACAAATTCTTGATATTTAGGGTTTTTTTTCACATAATCCTTAAAATCTTAATTCCTCCTCTCCCCTCAATGGTGCTTATATGTGTATATATGTCAAGATCGCAGAGGAAAAGCTAATTTTATATAAAAATGATCTCTCTGGACATTAAAATCTCAAGATCAAAATTTTCAAGTAATCCGAAACATCATTTCAAAGAAAACACAATCTGAAATATTATTTCAAAGAAAATACAAAAAAATTGCACTAATCATTACTTAAAACTTGATGTCAGACTGTCCTAGCCATGATCTCTAATATCAGACTCTCCTAATGTTTCTGTGGAATTACTTAATGGGACTTTGCAGAGTTTCATGTTTTCTCACAACAATAAACAGGATAAAGATCTAGTTCAGTACCTAGTATATAGTAAGTACTCGATAATTTTTTTGTGTGTGTGAGGAAAAGTGGCCCTGAGCTAACATCTGTTGCCAATCTTCCTCTTTTTGCTTGAGGAAGATTGTCCCTGAGCTAACATCTGTGCCCATCTTTCTCTATTTTGTATGTGGGACGCAGCCACAGCTTGGCTTGATGAGCAGTGTGTAGGTCCTCAAAGGGGATCTGAACCCACGGACCCTGGGCGGCCGAAGTGGAGTGTGCCAACTTAACCACTAAGCCACTGGGCCAGCCCCTCAATAAATATTTTTTAAATAGTCATTTAAAAAATTCAGTCAGTCAAGAGAGCCATTCAGTCAAAGCCTTGGGTCTAAAGAATACGGTATTGGTTTTAGGTCAGTAACATAAACAAACAAATCATCTATTTGAAAATGAGAAAAAAATTTTGATTATCTCAATTAATGGAAAGTAAGCACAGAGTGCTAATTCAAAATAGCAGTTCGGCCAAGTTTACCTATATTATAGCTTAGATTACAAGACTGTTTATAGCAGCTTAATTTTTCTCATCACACGAGGCTGATGTCGAAATTAGCACATTTTACCAAAACACAGATCAGCTGAGATTTGAGGAAATATTGATTGGAAAGTATTGATAAGGAAAAGAAAACTAGATTCAGATCAGTAGAACACGTAAAAACAATTAAGAGTTAACTGGGAAGAGATGAAATTAAATGAACGGGGGGATAAAACCCACTCTAAGAGTAAGTGTATTACTACAAACACTTAGAAGAGCAGACTTTCCTCACCCTGAATAGGTTTGGCATGCTCTTGGATCTCACACTGAGCTACTCCTGCTGCTACATCCCAAACGATGATCTTTCCATTGACATCAGCAGAAGCTAAGCGCAAGGAATACGGTGAGCCAATGTTATGGTGATAATTTTCCCTGGCCCATTTCACCTAGTATCAAGAAGAAATCAAATCATGTACATACCTGCACTGGATGAAACCAAACATTGTTTTCATAAAACATCAACCAGAACCCACACTACATTCTACACTTACATTACAAAAGCATTTAGAAAGAATAAACAGGAAGCTGGTTTCCATCTTGAAAGCCAAAGATTTTTACTATTTATGATATTTTTCAAAAGTTGCAGTTAAAATATTTTTGAAAACATCACTATGTCCCTGCTTTTAAGATATGAAAAATGACACACAGCCTTAATATTTTGGGAAATTCAGGTAAAAACTTGAAAATACCATATCATAAAATGGTAATGATTATTGGTATGACCAAATGGTACAATCTTAAAATCTAATTATGACAGAACATCTAAAATCCTAAATTGTTAAGTAGACTGTTTTTCTGTAACCTATTCTCCTAATTAAAAGGCGACAACTTAGAGCTACAAAAACCTCACGGAAGGAAAGATAGGAAAAACCAAAAGCAAACAAAAACCTCTGCCCGTCCCTCTTTCATAAAATTGGAAAAAATGTTAACAGATTTTTCTCTAAAAAAAAAAAAACTTATACTTCACACTTCTAGCAACATCAAAATAAACACCTCAAGAATTCCAGTGCAAATCAGGTTAGCCCAGAGCATCCAATACTGACAGCTGGAGTCGGATCAAAACACACAGTCCTCACCCTGAACCAAGGCCTTCCCCGGCCACAACCCCACCCCCCAGCTCAGCATCCTGCTTGTTTTCTTCAAAGCGTTTACCACACAATAATTTGTAATTATTTTATTTACTTTGTTTTGACCTATCACCAACCCAGGAACTGTTACGGCAGGATCATGCGGGCCTTGTTCACATTTCAATTCCCAGACCTTAACAAAGTGTCCACAGCTGCTGTTCAACACGTATGTGTTTAATAAAGAACTTAAACACCACAGAATCTTCAAGTATATACACATGTAAACATATGTATACAGATACACACATATGTGTTTACATACTTAAACACATCATGCTAAAGTAGAGAAGTATGCTAACCAATTCCAACAGTATTCATGAAAAGGCTGGCAACAAAGTGTTCTGAACTTCAGTGTTAATAAGCCTTAAGGTTCTACTGTAACACATCTTTTCCTCAGGCAAGAATTTTTTTAAATGAAAC